ACGTGAGATCTGGTCATCTTTGTTCTGTTGCCAAGTTATCTGATATTTTTTCATGATTTATACATCATTGACTTTGTTGTTGGTTTGGCTTTAACATAAAAAAAGATGAGAATAAGACTATATTTTTTCACTCTGAACAAAAAATATATGTTCTCAACATCATATCTCGGATATTATCAGTTATAGAAATGGAATTTTATGAGCTTTCCAACGGCGGCGTTGAAATTTTGATACACTAAGTGTGGGAGAGAAAATAAAGACAAAGGTGACCTAGCAGCATGGGTGACAGGAGAAAATTGATGAACAGCGGTACTCCACCCATGCTTTGGTACCTTCTGGAAGCTTCCCTAGCAAGAACTTGCAGTCATCTATGAAGCACGAAAATTTTACACGAAGTAATATCTCTGTAAGCCGGAATTTAAATTTTCCGAGGGGCAAATTTTTCCGATACAGTAGGGTCGGGATATATCGCGAGATAGGGTCAAAGGATGTTCACTATACGTGTATACTAAAATTGCGATATATGATTACATGTAAACAATGGGGAAAATAGGGTTAGGTTCTGGAGGCCAATAAAAGTGACTAAACTTGACATAAAATGGCACAGTCTAAAGTTAGCAGAATATAAATTACACTGCTGGAAACTTTGCAAGACAGCAAATAATTTGAATATAGACAATCATTTATTTTGCACGAGATAAATATTTTGGTCATACGTACTAATTAAGTATACAAAAAATTTTGTCTATTGCGAACTATAGCATGTTCATGTTCAAATTAACCACTATCTTACAAGAATTCCAGCAATGTTAATTATATTCTCCCAAGTCAATTCATTGACATTTTATAAGAGAAAAAGTGTAAACTCCTCCTATATGACAGATAAATAAATACCATTAGGTAACAGTTGTCTGGCTCCGACCCAGATGTCATAACAAATCAACTCTCCTCTGACTTCTTAAAGTTTTGATCTTATAAAATGTCACAGACTAAAGATAGCAGAATATAAATTGCATTGCTGGAATCCTTGCAAGACAACGAATAATTTGAATGTAAACGTCATATATTTTGCTTAATAGATAAAAATTTTAGCACTTTGTAATAGAATTACTAATTAGAACTAAAATTTGTATGTCTATTGCAAATTATAGCATGTTTATACTCAGAGTAATCACTATCTTATAAGAATTCCAGCAATGTTAATTATATTCTCCCATGTCAGTTCAGCGACATTTTATAAGAAAATAAATTAAAGTTACTCTTAAGGACAGGTAAATAAATAAGCACTAGACCTTGGCATCAACTGTCAAACATATCACCTCACCTTCCCCTCCCTCCCTCCCCCCCCCCATCTTCCCAGCCAATGTTGGGTGGTTATAGGCTTAGTGTTTATCTTATATAATACCACAGATTAAAGTTAGAATATAAATTGCATTGCTGGAGTCCTTGCAAGACAGCAAATAATTTGAATGTAAACGTCATATATTTTGCACAAGATATAAAAATTAATCACCAGTATCACATTACAGTAGTGATTTAGGAGTTTTAGTGTGTATGTACATATATATACAGTATAGTGATTTAAGGGCGATTTAGAAGTGTTCCTTACTTTCCAAGAGGTCCCAAGAACATAACCCTCGCTAGTTGCGAGTCTACTGTATATTGGAAAATTTCCATAATTTTGGTAGTAGTGATAAATTTGAAATATTTCCTGCACGATTTCCCTCGTGAAAAAAAATGTTATTGCAATATATAGGAAAATTTTGATAATTTTGGTAGCCCTGATATAAAAAAAATCGTTATATAAAGTCTCTATGTATCCTGACCCTACTGTACCCGGAAAATTCCGGGATAGGAGATTTTTTTCCGGGTTTGAGAGACAATGTAATAGGTAATTTCTGGAACATCCGAGAAAATTTTTCCTTTACCCGGAAAATTCCAGGGATGAGGAATTTTTTCCGACTTTGAGAGAGTCGTCTTGTTACCCGGAAATCTCTCATTCCTGGAAGTGCTCTGCACCAATTGTTCCGGCTAACAGGGATATCACTATCATATCTTGATTTTTTTTTGAGGGGATTTCTTTAAAGTTCAATGATGCAATTTGCATCACTGAAAAATAACTTTAGTGCTAACATACGATTTGATGCAATTTGTTTCATGATGTGCGAGAAGTTTAAACACCACAACCTAAAAAAATTTCTTCATAAATTTAGTAATTCAATGAACATGTATGTGTGTATGTACACTCATGATCATAGTTTCGATGCACCCTCTACCCTACCCCTGACTCGATAGCCTTGGCTTCATACTGTACATTCCCCCCCTCCCACTTCCCCCCACCCATCGTTCAGTGGTGCAATGTGGTAGCTCGAAGCTTCGCTGGATTGTACGAATAGCAGTTCATGATGTAATATTTGAGAGAATATATGCACGATACAGGATTTTAGTGACTTCACAACACTTTATTTACCATTACTATATTTAACATCACTATACAAGAGGGACCGTTCGGTTTACACCCCTGACTACGACTTCCCTCAAGCCAGGAGTAGGGGGAGAGGGCACATCAAAACTATGGCGCGTGAGTGTACACATGAATGTCAATGTAAAGGTACAGCATCTGTTGCATACAAGTGTGCTTGTACTGTACATGCAATAGTGAGTGTACATGCAATTCAGCTGTAAACTTGATTGCAGTGTTTGAGACTTGTCCCATTTCACCCCTGTCTTCAATTTTTTTATTAAACTGCACAACTCTTAATACTGAATGAAATTATTTATTAATGCAGTTCATCTAAATAGTTAATTAAAAAAATTTAACAGCTCTTAGGTAACTTAACAATGTTAAGCTTAGTATTGTATTTTAGAATATTAATTGTTCCGAAAAATATTGTGATTTAGAAATTATGAGCATACAGTACATTAATATGCATACAGTACAAAGCTTCTGATACGTCCGAGGGACAGTGCAAAGGACTTTGCAGACAAATGGCTTAGCGCCCTAACGAAACCTTTCAATATGTTAAAAGAATTAAAACATATCATGATAAAAAAAATTCTTTGTCAATCACATCTTACATTACTACAGTATTTACTCCTGATGTAAAGTTGTTATGGGCTGATGGCAGTATGGCATACAGGTACTTCACGATAAGTTAAAGAACTCAGTGCTGATTCCCCCTGCCTAGTGTAGTTTTGGCTTTAATACAATATACACTACCAAAGGCTCTCTTATCAGCAACCTCATACAGTACTCTTATCACTCTGCAAGAAAAATAAAAATAAATATAATAAAATGCCTGTTCATTTTAGTTCTTACACTTGTTAGCCTGTCATTAGTTGAGAGATGAACTCCTTTCTGTAAAATTCCCCTAATTTTTCCCCAATAAAACAAAGTAATGAATGACTCAAACATTAAGCTTAAATTTGTGTCAATTAAAAATTACTGATAGAAGAGCAAAATGTAAATAATATACTGTACAGTATAGCGCAGTATCTATAAAAACTGGTTCCCAATAATTAATCCTCAAGCAAATGAGAACTATCTTCCTTGCTTTCTTTTGAAATTTAATAATAAATCAATAAATCCTCAGCTTCAGGCATAATATTTCTAAGTACACTCTTGTGCTTCTACACCCTCCAGCTAACACTACAGTACTTTCAATATTAACAAGATTTTACTTACATACCGTACTGTACTTATAAAAGAATTTCATATTTACAACTTTGGTTTCTGCCTTCCTGATTCCTGCATGACATCATGTGTGGCAAAGAACCAGTTAACACACATACAGTACTGTACTATATATATATATTCACAAAGAAACACATTGGCTTGCAATGTACTGGTGTAATGAGTTCCCTTATAATGGAAAGAATTGTTAAAGAGACAACAGTGAACAAATTTTACATGGAAAAAAGAAGACAAACCCAGTCTGTTAAACAGTCATTCTGAAAATCTGAAAAGCACTTCACAATGACGAGACACAAAGGCCACACATGGGAGCACTATATGAAGACAAATCTGCTCACCATTAATATTAAAATTTAACTTCAAGTTTTGAAAAAGACTAATTTTATCAAATGTCCCCACTCAAGTGATCCACCATAAGTTAATGGACTTTAATTTTAACATGACTGGAAAGTTATTATGTAAGCACATTTGCTCGCCCATGTCACGTCACTTTTTCTTCATAAAGCACAATAAACTAAACGTAATAGTACTGCCTCGGTCAAATACTGTATAAGCATATCAACCTAGAAATGCATCTTTTGATGGAGATGCCACACTAAACAGAAAATTTTTCAGACACAACATTAACAAACACATGAATTTAGTGTTGTGCACTTTAGTATTTTCAGCAAAAAACACCTAAATGATTCATAGTTACACCCTGGACACGATTTTGACCTTGACTTGCATCAGAGACTTAATATGATAGTCTTACACTTTACATAGTGATGATACATAGTCAGGAAAAAAATTTTGAAAAAAATTCCATCGACGCCAGATTTATTATCTGGACAAACTTTAAATCTAACTACCACTAGTGACCTTTATCTTTAATATATGCATCTGGATTTAGTATTCCGGATTTTATACATTCATAAGGCATATTCACACAGCTTTGTGATGAATATGATGATTAAATTCTCTAACCAAGTTTGAAGTCAGTCTGGCTGAAACTGTTGGCCTAATTAATTTAAAAAAAAATTCTGGACTTTTAGATGAACAGACAAACTAATTAGTACAGTACATATATGCCTTCTCTAGTAAGGGCATAAAAACTGTAATTCATGTACAGTATTTGTAAAATCTAATTGTATTTCTTTGCATTTACACTTTAGCTTTGAACAGCTTATTTCAGTTATCTGTAGACCAATCACATCCTGGAACTTTCATCCTAAAAGCATTAATCATGGAGAGAAGGGATATATTAGCCAGCCACCAAAAGAAAGCATGCAGCAGAGACCATAAGGTGTTAGTAATACACAGCATATAGAGTTGTGGTGAGGGTGTTTATTGTAAACAGTGAAGTAGTGTACATGCCATAACCCATAATCATACACATATGATGCACTTCACCATTGTTCCTACTCTTGTTTCCTAACGTGAAAAATGCTGCTTCATAAACTTTCTGCCTAGAAAGATTCCATTAAGGTTTATTTCCAAAAGAAGCAAAATAGGGAAAAATATTTATAAAGAAATAATGAAATGTAAAAACTGACGATAGCGTGTGATAACAACCACGACTGCACAATACACGTAAAGACTCACCCTAGAGACTCAATCTAATGGTGTCTAACATTTAATTTGTACAATTTACAAAACTTGAAAATGCAATTCATTAACTTCTCCAGCTGTGAATGATAATCACTGCAAATTCTCAGACATTAAAATTGGTCATCTAGGATGTCAAAAATCATTCCTGCTTAAACAATGAGATGCATAAATAACAATGGACTCTTGGTTCCGTAACACAAACAACAATAACATCTTAGCAACGTTGCCCCTGAAGAGGTACAACTATTGATTGTACTTTTTAAGACCTCCTATTTTCATGTGAGATGGTATCAACACACACAAAATGTATTCCTTGAGCTGTGATAAAAGTAGAGACTCCGAAGGAAGAGCATTTACCATTTACTATTCATTAGTATAAGATTCCTGCATATCTGCCTACTAAGAGCTTACCCTAGTGTGAAAATGTTGCTATCATAATTTCAATACAGAAATGATTCACCCTAAAAAAAATTCACACATCACTAAATCAACTATCATACTGAAAAGAATAACGACTAAACAAATAGAAGTTTTTACCAGCAAACTCACACTACTGTACATTGCTAAAACAAGCTACAGTATCTTTCCAAATATTTAAACTTAATGTTATTTATCTGAAATTACAGATAAAGTAGTCTTTAGTCTTTGTACATTAAAGAGATTGGTGTTGAATCTGTATATATCAAGTTGAATAATTTTATCATATTAATGAGCAATATTCTGTTCATTTCTTTACATGATTTGGTACATGTACTGTACAAGGATCTAACATCACTCAGAGTGGGAAACAAATATTGATTATAGGAATAGTTCAGTATTATTGCACCTTACATTATCCAATTAACCTGCAAGACACACAACTCAAGGCACAAAGCAACAAATGAAAATAGAGTACCAAGGCCCACTCATCACAGCAAGTACAATGTAACCCTAACATTACTACATAACAGTCTTTAAGGGTTGTCACTGAGGGACTATAAAGGTAAAAGAGCATTAAGGAAGCAGCACAGAGTTAAGAGCATCTGTCACTAGTGCACATTAGTAAGCAAGCCAGCCTGTTATAGTACTGCATCGAACATTAGCTACACGCACGCAACAACTAACTGCATAGGCAATTCAAACAATGCGCAGAGTTATCCCACCTGCTAACTAAAGTTTTATTGTCATGTTCATCAGGTATGTTGTACACTATTCAATTACCTACCCTCAAAAACAAAGAGTATAATTCGCATTTATCACGTAATAAATAAAAATGTCCATCTCTCAACTATATTCCAACAAACCTGATTTGTTCTTCTAAAGTTGAGCATTCCTTTGAAAAGATAAAAATTACCTGTATTGTCAACTCCCTCATCTATTTAATCATAAAATCCTATAAATAGCCACATTCATATTTGGAAATAAGTATAATAGGTCTACCTTATATCACTAAAGGGAACCCTGGAGTGATATAAGTTTTGTTCTTATATCTTTCATAATATAAATTCTTATAGAAATTCATGATATGCACAGACTCCATGTATGCCATACAAAACTTTATAAACATTACCATCAACAGTAGTGTTAGCTTCAGTGATACCTTGAGTCAAAGACAAAGAAATTTTCAATTTCACATTGGTTCCGAGGGCAGCCATCCACAAATTCCTTACGCACTGTCGGCGAGTAGTCAATCGGCTCGATCTTTAATGGTGAAGCACTTAATGAGAAAATGCTCACACATCTGACGTACCTGTAAGGAAAATAACTTTGTTGTCAAATATGTACAATTTCTAAAAGTAAAGCATCAATAAGGGAACACATATGAAACTAAACTTGCATCTTCCTCTCTTCCATATACTGTTTTTTTTTAACTATACCATACAGTCAACCCTCACTTTACGTGGTCCCACATTCCGCCATTCCACGTTTCTACGTTTACGTGGTGCCCTGCCAGAACCCAGGATGCTCACATTCTGCGGTGGGTGTACCCCTTTACAGGGTGAAGTATAATTTTTTTATTTAGCTCATAAAATTCATACAAATTATCCGGCCAGAATATAATTTACATTGCTGGAATTCTTACAATTTGATGATCATTTTGAATATAAACATCATAGATTTTGCATTAGACATACAAATTTTAGATATAATGTTTACTCTTGAGTAAATATGTTATCTTTTGTGCAAAATATATGATATTTATATTCAAAATATTCCTGGTCTTACAAGGAATCCAGCAATGTCAATTATATTATCCTAACTTTAGTCTGATTTATTATTTATTACTAAAAAGGTAAACAGTCTGGTATTCCCACACATTTATCTAGTAGGGACGTTGGTGGGGGGAGGGAGGGAGGGACCGGCGACCGACCATCTGTTACCGTGTGAAGAATATTTTTTTTTTATTAACTGAAGATTTTTATTTTAGCTCATAAAATTCATACAAATTACCCGGCCAGAATATAATTTACATTTCTGGAATTCTTACAATTTGATGATCATTTTGAATATAAACATCATATATTTTGCATTAGACATAAAATTTTTAGATATAATGTTTAGTCTGAGTAAATATCTTATCTTTTGTGCAAAATATATGACATTTATATTCAAAATATTCCTGGTCTTACAAGGAATCCAGCAATGTCAATTATATTATCCTAACTTTAATCTGAGGTATTATTTAATACTAAATGTTAAAATCTAGTTTTTTCACCCACTCTTTCTCTTGAAGGGAGGGTTGGTGGGAGGTGGGGGGGAGGGTTGGGACGGACTGACCATCTGGCTGGTTGGAAGAGGGGGGGAGGCAAGGTGGGGTACTTTGATTGACAGATAGTGTCGTGAAGAATATTTTTTTTTTTATTAACTGAAGATATTTGTTTTAGCTCATAAAATTCATACAAATTACCCGGCCAGAATATAATTTACATTGCTGGAATTCTTACAATTTGATGATCATTTTGAATATAAAAATCATAGATTTTGCATTAGACATACAAATTTTAGATGTAATGTTAACTCTGAGTAAATATGTTATCTTTTGTGAAAAATACATGACATTTATATTCAAAATATTCCTGGTCTTACAAGGAATCCAGCAATGTCAATTATATTATCCTAACTTTAGTTTGAGGTATTATTTATTACTATACCTGGTTTTCCCCCCAAAATTTCTCAGAGGGAAGAGCCAGTGTAGTGTGAGAAGAGGGGGAGGGAGTTGAGTCCATTATTTGAATGGACATTAGCTTGGCGACTGTATTTCTCTATTTCTCTTAAGTATTAATTGTGTGCATGTACCATCATAAAATTAGGATATTATTTTTACTAGAACATAGGTATTGTGTTGGAAAAAGTGGAGTTTGGGGGTCAGCTGGTCTCTATTTCATTTAATCCCATATGTTATGTTATTCACTTTACGCGTTTCTCACTTTCCGCGGTACCCTGTGGGTTACATTAACCGCGTTAAGTGAGGGTTGACTGTATTTTCATTTTGGCTAAATATGCTAACTGTATGCAGACACGACAAAACAAAAAATATCCACATGTAAATCAGAAACAAAAAACAAATTAAATAATTTTAAAAGTAGATCACAGATAATATACAGGACTGTACTGTACTAAAAATGTAGTTACTTAAACTGTTAATTGTCAAGGACTGACCCCTGGCATAATCTGAAACCACATAAAAGCATGGAATAATAAAGTATCTCTTAATAATGTTACAGTTATGGTGACATGGAGTCTACCCCATTAAGCCTTTCTAACTATTCAGATGTCAAAACTTTGTTACTTTAAACATTACTGCTAAAAATTATTTCCAGGAACTGTAATGTAATAACTTACCACATAAACACCATAATGAATGTGAGCCACAGTGGCAACACTACTCATAACAAGCAGGGTAGCCATCTCCAGACTGGGAAACACCAACACTATCACCACAGACAAGGCAAGAGGTAGAATCAGCCAGTTAATAAATTCACATCGTGTGCTACTCATCTGTGATACGATCAATCGACACTGAAATGTACAAAATTAATCAGTTAAGCAATCATACTTTCAAGTAAGAATAAAAAATTTCCTTGATGATTTAAGAAATAAAGAGCTACAGTACAGTATTACCCCGCTTTACGCGTTTTTTTTTACGCGTTTCCACGTTTACGCTGTACCCTGCCACCCCCAGAATGCTCACTTTACGCTGTGCATGTACTCTTTTACGCGGAGAGCGGCGCAGGTAGGGTGCGCACAAGGTCGCCCAGTCATCAAAACATTTCCGAGTTCTTCACCCGCCACCCACCACAGCCGGCCCAAGTCAGTGATAGTGATAGTGAGGATATGGATTTATATGGACTTTGAGGGGTTTGACAAAGAGGCCCTGCAAGCCTCTGTGGTGGATAGTGATACAATTGATACAAGTGATACAGGTGAGGGCCAATAATCTGCCCTCTGCCTCGGAACCAATCCCCATCCCCGTGTGCCCAGCCATCTTTTCTACTAATGTAAGAGTTAAAAAACCTAATATTATTGCGATTTCTCTTAATTATTAATTGTGTGTGCATACCATCATAAAATTAAGAAGTTATTTTTGCTACAACGTAGGTATTGTGTCTGAAAAAGTGGAGTTTGGGGGTTGGCCCAGTCTCTATTTCAATTAATCCCATATGTTCTGTTGTTAACTTTACGCGTTTCCCGCTTTATGTGTTGGGCCTCTGTGGGTTCAATTGACCGCGTAAAGCGAGGTTTCACTGTACAATATACAGGTGGACTCCATTTCGTGGATATTTTAAATGTATTCAACCAAAATATATTGAAAAACCCATAAAACTAGTCAACAGTATTCAAGGCTCAAGTTCTCAAAATGCCCACTAATATAAAATTCCACGAATACTATTACAGTACAGTACTTGACTGTAATTACCTGTACAGTATACAACAACCACGACACATGAGCTATCTGCTCTTTTGTATCACCCAGTACATTCCAACACCACCACACCTTAGCTATCTTATTTTTAAACTAAGATAAGTTTCTTATTTACTGTAATATAATACATTTTAAAGAATATTCACCAAATGATCACATGGACACTGCAGCCGTATCACGTGTTCTGATTTAGTTCCTCTAAAAGACATTATGGATGGACAAAAATGCATTGTGTATAGTAAACCTAAAATTTGTTTAAAAGTGTTTTGAAATGATGGAATTAGTATTGGAGGAGAAAAAGTGGTGTTATAAGAGTGGATTACTTTATTTCAATCCTCACTGGTTGTTTTTCTAACAAACCTATGATACAGTATTGAAGCATACCCTCTTAGCCTTTAGCATAAGAACATTAAATATCTTTAATGTTTCATTTCTTACAGATGCATTAAATATTTCTAATACTGTATTATATGTTTCATGAAATAAGTTTTAAAGGTTTAATAAATAAATATCAACTGAAGACAGTCGATCAGCTAATGAAAATGTAGTTTCCCCTGCCATTTCCTCTGCCACCTACTGAGTCCCCAAGCAGCCTCCACCTATATGGAACAGTGACTACAGTACAGCAGCTGATGCCTGGATGGCTAGGATATGCTAAAAGTTGTATTCAACTACAGTACTGTACCGAATAATTAGTGTAATGGTGTACCATAATTTACGACATTTCAGCAGGGAATATTTAGGAAAAACTTTTGCATTGCTATTTGGCTGCTGGATGACAAAATTTTTCAATCATTTCACTACACACGGAAACAGCTCAGAACAGCCAAGAATCCTCACTCCTCTCTACCCTGCTCAGCGTGAACCCTTAACAAACGAGGAAAGTTTAATTCCCTTTTGTTTTGACCTTATGATTATTATTTTTGTACATTCTTTATGTGTTCATGTAACATCATAGTACAGGTAAAATGAAAATGAAGAAAATTAAATGTATCTACCCCAAATTGCGAGTTGAAAATTAACCATAACATAGCTCACAGCTTGGCCTGGAGTGGTAGGGAGAGGACTAGGGGGGGGGGGGGTGTGACTATAGTGATGAGTCTTATGTTACTATTACAAATACAAAACTAATATAAAATACTAAAAAATCAAGCAAAATTTCCGAAATATAGAAACTATCAGTTAAGATTTTGAGCAAAAAAAAAAAAAAATTGGTCACAGAACTGGAAATTGAAGTTTGATTGGTTCTAACAATAAACTGCAAAATATTAAAGTAATTAGAGAGTAATATTACCCTGATTACACATTTCTAACCCTTTCACTATGGGGATGCCACTTTCAATATATTATTTGGATAAAGCCAGATGATTTAATTCCGCTCAGGCAGCCCTGGATAAAAGGGGTTAAAGCAAAACCCTGTACTGATGTTTACAAGCTAAGGAATTAAAATAAATAGAAATACAGTGTACAAATGAGAGAACAATCTTTGATTCAGAGGAAACTTTGTCTATGAATTGTTCTAATTCAACACTAATTTGTTACAGAAAAAACAGGATCGCTATACAGATACAGGTTGACAATCCTTTATCCGAAATCCTTGGGGCCAGAGGCATTTCGGTTTTCGAAATTTTTCAGTTTTCAGAGGGGTTATTTTTTTTGTGTGTTAAAAAAAAAAAAGAAGTTTTGCCCCCCAGCCCTCCCCCCAAAATTTCGGTTTTCAGAGCTTTCCGGAATTTCGGATAAAGGGTTATCAACCTGTACCAGAAAATTCTTGTCCAGTACATCCTATAAACACTTTTTTGTCATTGGAATAAATATCTTAAAGGCTTTCAAATAATTATCCTACACAACTTCCACCTGTAAAAGTAGTCTACGTCCTTCCAAAACTACAAGCAGCAATCTTCAAGTTGCTGTCATTATGCTTCTTCAAACAGTCGATAAGTTCAACCTTCTCCTCCAACATACACACATTTATTTCGCTGATCAGTGTTGTTTTACAATCCTCATTTTCCATACACACAACTACTGTCTCTAACAATAAAATTTTTATTCTAATACTGCATGAAGCTCTCGATTGGATCCCCTAATCAGAGGCTGACACTATTGAATCATTCCCTTTACTATAAAGGGTTTACTGTATATAACCTAGAGTATATAACCTTTTATTTTATACTAGTAAAAAAAAACTCTTGTAAAACAAATATCCTGCTCTCACATAACAATTAAATACTGTACTGCATAAACAAATCCAGTAAATCTTGTTTCAAAGCAGTCTAAGATATAAAGAAAGGATAATAAAAATTTAATATTATACGTACATTGACATTCGCAAAAATTGTGCCAACCATGAAGAGGTACATCCTTGGATTCTTATTGATAATGTCTGTAGATGAATGATATACCCATATAGTGGAGAAGGTAAAGAATACAATGGGAGTGAACAAAGGCCGTATGGACTCCCACACACCCAGCATCTTCCCAGTTTTGTCTCTGTAGGACCTGAAGAAATAAACAGATCTTAATTACAGTATGTAACTTTAATAAATTCTTGGTGTTAAGTACCTGTATTATCTCACAGGTGGTGACGGACCAAATGGATCTTAATCATACAGTACTAGGTCACACTTTTAATGGGTTCCAATCTCAATGGTTTGGTTGGGGCCTTTCAAGATGACCTGCATTCTCACCAGGAACATGAGTATGGCTTCTTTTAATTTATACAGTATATTTTGTATACAGGGAAAACACCAACAAGTGTGCCAGCCATTAGTTCTGTCTAGTGGTGTAAATTCTGATAAATCTTTACACAAGGGAAAAGCAGCTTTGGTTTTCTTTCAAGGAAATCTAAAGTTGTAAAAAAAGTTCTTCAAAGTTTTGAGTACAGTAAAACCTCGATAAATCGGACTTCAATAAATCGGAATTCGCTTCTTTCGGACTCTGAGATGCTCTGATCACAAAGGGGGGGGGGATTAAATAAATAAAAACCTGATGAAATGAACAACACTTACTGAGTACTGTACAGTGGTCTAATCGGATTTGCTATAGGCCTACTGAGAACTAAGACATCGTAAGCAGACTGGGGCTGATTAGGTGTTGCCACATTCGTCAGGTTTATTTATCTATTGATTCATTATTATAATCTCATATGATTGGCCTCTTATGGTTCATCAAGACTTATATAACATATTCAGTAATAGAGAAAAATACAATACTGTACTGTATGTAATTTGTAATATGACTTGAAAATAAATGGATGAGCTGTATCAAAAGGTTGTTTACTCAGATGCATTTGTGTGAGCTTTCAGTAGACCAGCTTACAACAGGGGTCACTATAACAAACTGTATAGTATTTGATATGAAGATACCTTCTTAAAAACGTTATTTACTACCTTTGAGTGTTATATGATCACTCAGTTTGGCTACTTGTACAGTATAGTCTCGGTTTACGTGATCTTTTATACGCGGTTGGTCATTTACGCGGCACCTGTCCAGACGCGCCAATTAGTTACGTGGTACATTCCTGAATTTACACAGGAAGCAGCGCGGACAAGCTGCGCGCTAGGTCGCTCTTACGTCACCGCTGACGTCAGATGACGTTTCAAACTGTGATTGGGCCACGCATCCTTACCACACATGCATCCCCTCCGCCGCGAGCTGTGATTGGTCTATTTAACCTTGCTTGCCCAGTCAACAAAACATTACCGAGTTCTTCACCCGCCACCCACCACAGCCAGCCCAAGTCAGTGATAGTGAAGATATGGACTTTGAGGGGTTTGACAAGGAGGCCCTGCTAGCCTGTGTGGTGGATAGTGATACAGGTGATACAGGTGAGGGCCAATAATCTGCCCTCTACCTCGGAACCAACCCCCCATCCCCGTGTGCCCAGCCATCTCTTCTACAGTACTAACGTAAGTGTTAAAAAACCTAATATTATTGATATTTCTCTTAAATATTAATTGTGTGTGCATACCATCATAAAATTAAGATGTTATTTTCACTACAACGTACGTATTGTGTTGGAAAAAGGGTAGTCTAGCGGTCGGCTCAGTCTCTATTTCAATTAATCCCATATGTTCTGTTATTTCGTTTACGCGTTTCGCGTTATACGCGGACCTCCATGGGTTTAATTGACTGCGTAAAACGAGACTATACTGCATTTAGACAAATGATTAATCCTTAAGCCCCGGGTTAGGGTGCTGCTGGCAGTAACACCACTCCCCCCCCTCCCCCGGGGGCTAAATCGAGAAAAAAATCAACTAAAAAAAAAAAAAAAGACGGGAAAATAGGCGGACGTTTTGGAATGTCACCTGGGGCGCGCTGGTCAGACGTTCTGGAACGTCTCCCGGGGCCTAAGGGTTACCAAAAAAAACCAGGGTATAGGCAGATGCATAATACTTTACACTACAATATTACTTACTAAGTGATGATAAATACTGTACACTACAATAGTATTTATTAAGTGGTGATAAATACACATACACAACTGTACTGTACTAATTTACTAACTGTTGAAGACAGACATTGTGGGAAGCCGATCAGCTGTTTGCTCTTTGTAAACAAATGGCTCATGGTGTTCTTAAGAATAAAAGAACATAAGAATGGAGTTAACTTTCAGCTGGCCTATTGGCCCATACTGGGCAGTCCCATTTACATCCAACCCCTATTGCTCATATATCCATCCAACCTATGTTTGAAGCTATCCAGTGTATTCGAGTTAATGATGATGTTTGGTAACTTGTTCCACTCGTCCACTACTCTATTTCCAAACCAATGTTTACCTATTTCGCGCCTAAATCTAAATTTGTCTAATTTAAAACCATTGTTACTAGTTCGCTCCTGGTTAGATATTTTGAGTACCTTTGTTTAGCCTTGACTTCCATTTATACACCTCTATCATATCGCCCCTCACTCTTCGTCTCTAGAGGGAGAGCAAATTAAGATGCTTTAACCTGTCTCTGTACTCAATTCCTAATGCCCGGGATTAGTCTGGTCAGTCTCCTCTGAATTCTTTCTAGGGATTCTATATCCATTCTGTAGTACGGAGACCAGAATTGAACTGCGTAATCCAAATGAGGTTTCACAAGTGCAAGATGGATGACCTCACTAGTCTTGTAACTAACACTCCTTTGTATGAACCCAAGTACTTTGTTAGCCTTGTATCAAGCAAATACACATTGTTTACTTGGTTTAAGATTCCTACTTATCATTACTCCTAAATCTTTCTCACAGTCGCATTTCTCTATAACATCGTTGTTCATCTGGGACAGTGGTCCCCCGATTAACAAACGGTTCAATTAACGAAATTTTGGTTAACGAATTAGCTCCCATAATGAACAAAACTTCGATTAACGACAGCCTTACGAGAAACACACTTTAATGTGCGCATCAGCTGATCGACTAGTCTGCCAATAGTGTAATTGGTTCTATGTTAACATCCATTTCCAGTGGACTAAATATCAAGAAAGTTGTGTTCTTGAATATTTTTGCATTTTTTATATTAAAATGGTTGGTCATTCTGAAATTTAGTTAACATATTGATAATATATACAATACAGGGAACAGTTTTTGTGCGCCCATCAGTTGATTGAATTATCCACCAACGCTTCTCAGTTTAACTTTGTTTACAGTGGAGTGAACATCGAGTTTGTTGGTCTCTTGAATATTTTTGCATTTTTACATTAAAATTATTGGTTATTCTGAAATTTAATTAACATATTTCTAATATACAGTGCATAAATTATTATGAAACATGAAGAAGGCATTAGAACCAATGCACTCTGTAAAGAATATGGCATGTCATCATCGACTGCCTCTACAATCAGCTGTTTGATATGTAAACAAAGCTGCCGGTAATACAACATACACACCTCAAAGTAAGTTAAAATACAGTATTCTATTGTTTTTTTATTAATTATTGTACAGTACAGTATACTGTACAGTACAGTACTGTATTTAGCTTATATTTAATGTTTTGTTAATTCTATTACCGGTATACAGTGGTCCCTCGATTAATGAACACAATTGGTTCCACAGAGTCGTTTGTGAACCAAAAATTTCATTAACTGAATCTATTATTTCAATGGGATATTGGGTAATTTGTTCCAACTCACAGAAAAAGTACATACAAAGTAAAGCCAAAAAATGCATAAAGTCAGAAACACTCCTAAAAATCCCCTAAATCACCCTTATGTCACTATACTGTATATATACGTACATATACACTAGAACTCTTACATCACTACTGTAATGTGATACAGATGATTAATTTTTATCTCTTGTGCAAAATATATGACATTTATTCAAAATTATTTGCTGTCTTGCAAGGATTCCAGCAAAGCAAATTATATTCTCCAAACTTTAGTCTGCCATATTATATAAGATAAAAACTATAAACCTAAAACCCTGGCTGGGAGGGAGGGAGGGGGGAGGTGAGGTGATATGTTTGACAGTTGGTGCCGAAGGTCTAATGCTGTTTATTTATCTGTCCTTAAGAGTGACTAAGTTTTTCTCTTATAAAATGCCACTGAAATGACCTGGGAGAATATAATTTACATTGCTGGGATTCTTGTAAGATAATGATTAATTTGAATACAGTGGAGTCTGCATTTACACGGTCAATTGAACCCGTGGAGGCCCGCGTAAAACGAGAAACGCGTAAATGAAATAACAGAACATATGGGATTAATTGAAATAGAGACTGGGCCGACCCCCAAACTCCACTTTTTCCAACACAATACCTACGTTGTAGTAAAAATAACATCTTAATTTTATGATGGTATGCACACACAATTAATATTTAAGAGAAATACAGTCGCCGGTTAATGTCCATTCAAATAATGGACTCAACTCGCCCCCCCTCGCCCCCCCCCACCCTTCTTCCCACTGGCACCTCCCTCTCTGAGAAATATTTGGGTGAAAACAGTAGGCTTACATTTTTAGTAATAAATAATACCTCAGACTAAAGTTAGGATAATATAATTGACATTGCTGGATTCCTTGCAAGACCAGGAATATTTTGAATACAGTAGTACCCCGATTTACGCGGTCAATTGAACCCACAGGGTACCGCGTTGTGAAATCCACGTAAATGGAACAACAGAACATATGGGGTTAATTCCAATAGAGACTGGCCCGACCCCCAAACTCCACTTTTTCCGACACAATACCTATGTTGTAGTAAAAATAACATCTAAATTTTATGGTGGTATGCTCACACAATTAATATTTAAGAGAAATACAGTCGCCAGGTTAATGTCCATTCAAATAATAGACTCAAATCATCCCCCCCCTCTTCCCAGCTCACTGGCCCCTACCTCTCTGAGAAATGATTGGGTGAAACACTAAATTTTAATGTTTAGTAATAAATAATACCTCAGACTAAAGTTAGGATAATATAATTGACATTTCTGGATTCCTTGCAGGTCAGGGAATATTTTGAATGTAAACTTCATATATTTTGCACAAAAGATAAAATATTTGCTTTGTGTAAACCAAATTATTACATTGGATCTAAAATTTGTATGTCTAATGCAAAATCTATGATGTTTATATTCAAAATGATCATCATATTGTAAGAATTCCAGCAATGTAAATTATATTCTGGTCCAGTAATTTGTATGAATTTTATGAGCTAAAACAAATATCTTCAGTTAGTAAAAAAAAAAAATATTCTTCACGACACTATCTGTCAATCAAAGTACCCCAACTTGCCTCCCCCCCTCTTCCAACCGCGCCAGATGGTCGGTCGGTCCCAACCCTCCCCCCCACCTTCCCTCCCTACCAGAGAAATGTTGGGTGAAAAAACTAATTTTAACTTTTAGTAACAAATAATACCTCAGACTAAAGTTAGGATAATATAATTGACATTGCTGGATTCCTTGTAAGACCAGGAACATTTTGAATATAAATGTCATATATTTTGCACAAAAGATAACATATTTACTCAGAGTAAACATTACATCTAAAATTTGTATGTCTAATGCAAAATCTATGTTTATATTCAAAATGATCATCAAATTGTAAGAATTCCAGCAATGTAAATTATATTCTGGCCGGGTAATTTGTATGAATTTTATGAGCTAAAAAAAAAAAAAAAATTATACTGTACTTCACGCGTATATGGGTAGATGAACCGCGTAAAGTGAAAGTTTGGTTCTGGCGAGGCACCGCGTATATGAGAAATCACGTAAAGTGAAACCGCGTAAAGCGGGGTACAACTGTATAAATGTCATATTTTGCACAAAAGATAAAAATTTTGCTCTTTCTAATCAAAATTCTTATATTAGATCTAAAATTTGTATGTCTAATGCAAATTTTATGATGTTTATATTTAAAATAATCACAATCTTATATGAATTCCAGCAATGTAAATTATATTCTGGCCGGTAATTTGTATGAATTTTATGAACTAAAACAAATATCTTCAGTAAATACAGTAAACAAATTATACTTCACCAGCGTAAATGACCAAATTTACTAAGTAATTAAAGCATTTAATTCTGGCAAGGCACCACGTAATGACCAAACGCGTAAACAAAAGCCACGTAAATGCAGACTTCACTGTATAAACAAGCTATAATTTGCACTGGACATAAAAATTTTATTACCATAATCATTTAGTACATGTACAGTACAGGTTTGCACTTAGGTCATTTATTTCTTTTAATTTTTTTAGTAAGGTGTGTGCATGTAAACGAATAAAAATAAATGAAGAAACTTATGTAAATCTACCCAAAAATACAGTTGAAAAACTTGTACATTATTAAAATGTACTAAACTAATGTACTAAAATTTTTATTTCTTGTGCAAAATATATGATGTCTCGATTCAAATTATTCCCCGTGTTGCAAGGATTCCAGCAATGCAAATTATATTATCCTAACTTTAGTCTGTGATATTATATAAGATAAAAACTTTAAGCCTAAAACCACCAAACCCTGGCTGGGTGGGAGGGAGGGAGGAAGAGGTGGTGACAGTGACATGTTTGACAGTTGGGGCCAAAGGTCTAGTGAAGTATTTATTTGTTTATTTATGTCCTTTAGATTGAGTTTTTGTTTTTTGCTTATAAGATGTAACAGAAGTGACCGGGGAGAATATAATTTACATTGCTGGAATTCTTATACGATAGTGATTAATTTGAATATAAACATGCTATAGTTTGCACTAGACAAAAATCTTAGTAATCATTTTGTACATTATTTTGAGGACATGTACAGTACCGCTTTGCCCTTAGGAAAGTGTGTGCACGTAAATGAGTAAAAATAAATGAATAAAGTTACATATATCGAGCCAAAAATATTACAGTAGTTGAAAACTTTATGTAGACAGAGCTTGGATGGTTTAATTTTAGAATGACCAATAATTTTAATATAAAAAATGAAAAAATATTCAAGAACACAACTTTCTTGACATTTACTCCACTGGAAACGAATGTAAACATAGAACCGATTACTGTATTGACAGACTAGCCAATCAGCTCATGCACACAACAAAGCGTGTTTCTCCTTAGACTTTCGTTAATCGAAGTTTTGTTCGTTAATGGAACTGAAAATCCTCATGGGAGCTAATTCGTTAACCGAAATTTCGTTAATTGAACCATTCGTTAATCGAGGGTCCACTGTACAGTACTTTGTATGGACACTTTTTCTGAGTTGGAACCAATTACAAAAATATCCCATTGAAATAATAGATTCAGTTAACGAAATTTTCGGTTAACAACCGACTCTGTGGAACCAATTGTGTTCGTCAATCGAGGGACCACTGTATTTGGTTTCCCTGTCTACATCTCCTATTTACCTTTGTCCACATTGAATTTCATGCCATTTTTCAGACCATTTGAAAAATTTGTTTAGGTCTTCCTGGAGTTTTGCAGAGTCGTTGTCAGATTTAATTACACGCCTTATTTTAGTGTCATCAGCAAATTTACTTATGTTGCTCTCTATGCCAATAACTATGTCGTTTATATATATAATAAATAATAATGGTCCGAGTACTGAGCTTTGGGGTATTCCACTAGTTACATTACTCCAATCGGATTTACTGCCATTAATGCTCATTCGCTGTTTCCTGTCCTGTAACCATGCCCTAATCCATTTTAGAATATCTCCTCCAATGCCATGAGTCTTCACTTTTCTTATTACTCTGCCGAAGGCTTTGCTTAAGTCAAGATATACCACATCATAGTCGTGCCCGTCGTCCACTGATTCGAAAACAGCTGAAAACAATGTTAATAGATTTGTTAGACATGAATGCCTGCTTGTGAAGCCATGTTGGAAGGCATTGATCAACTTGTGCTTCTCCAGTGTGGGATTCTTTTTTTTCAGGAAAGTTGATTTTTTTAGGATAATATTTTATCAACCTGGCACCAAATGATCCTAAATTATATGAGAAATGTGATGGAAATGCATAAAGAAGTGTTAAAGGAATCTTGTGGGAGAAAGGGGGAGGGAGCCCCCCACCCCACTGCCAGCTACTCCCAGATAAACATTTGTCTTCCACATACAATATACTCCTACACTTATTGTTCTTATTTTTATCTTTATAGTACTGCACAGTATACAGTTTTCTCTTTATTCATAGGACAAATTCTTTGGTTACTTACATATAACACGTTACAGTAAATAACAATCATCTTGGTGACAACCAGACTTACATGTCTGATTTTCAACCCAAAGTCGTTTCATATTTTTTTGATTGTTGACGTAATATTCTTTTAATAACCTTATTATCCTTATTATACACTTAAAGACCTTAGTTGTTGAAGTGCAGTAATAATATAACTGATTTTCTTCAAACAGTTCAGATAAGCAGTGTTATTGCCCCCCCTCCCCCCCCCATATTCCCTTTTCTTGGACTTTCGCATTTTTCGGACTGGGGTCTGCCCCAATTAGTCCAATTTATCGAGGTTCTACTGTACTTCCAAGTGCCATACACATCAGTGTTGCTTTGAAAATATAATCGGTGTGTGATGCTGACTGACAGATTCAACCATACTAAATAATTTCTATTGACTTAGGATTAAGTTAAGATTTTCAGTCTACTTGTAAAACTAGTTATTTATTGTGTATTGTTACAATGTTCACACGTTAATGAAATTTATAATACTGTACAGGTAAAATCAAGTTAAAACGTAACTACAGCCAACTCACTACAACTTACTTGTAAATGTTCCAAAATGACATGGGCAGAGATGTGCCAAGAGAGCCAGCATACATCATGAATTCAAACATGGCTCCTGAAGAAATCCCCCAAAATATCTTAAACTTCCAAATGTTCTGCCCCCCAAATCCCGTTATTAAATAAATCACGAATATCAGCTGAAAGGAAAAATAATCTCGATTATATAAATATTAATAAAACACCTTTGACAAATAATTCACATTATGAATCAAAATTTTCATTCTGTATATTTGTAGCAACCGTAGCTGGGAAAGACTTCTTTTCTGACAGTTAACCATAAAACTGAAGAAAAATAAGCATAAGTCTGAGGTAAACGATAAGGAGAAGAGATGACAGAGGAGATAGACAAAAACAGCAGAGTTTGTACATGATAGGAGAGCACAACGTTGCAAAAATTCTGATGATGTTATTGTAGAGTGAGCCGAGAGAGGACAGGAAATGAAGAGATTACTGGTGATTATTTATGCTTGGTTCTAGCCATCCTATAGCATTGTAAAAAAAGTACAGGTACTGTACTTGTATACAGTCACTGTATCTAAAAGCAAAAAGTCATGCTAATAATGTATGCCTAAACATTCATTTCCATTAGTTGCCATCTTGTTATTGGGTAGCTGTCAGAAAAGGCAGTCTTACCTAGCAGCCTAGTTGATCACTCAAACTCACCATTTGGGATATATCATATCCCCATGGTAGGAACAAAATCTTGGTCAGGTACTTCTCCCAGTGAGATGTGTAGAAACAGAGAATAACATTCCATAAAACAAAATAAAACCTGAGTGGGGAAATACTGTAATCTAATCTGCCAAATACAGACCAGATGCATGCTGGGATAAAGAAGGTCGACCAAGAGTCTAACCCATGATCAAAGAGCTCTCCCAGTGGGCCACTTGTCCCAGTCCTCCTTGCTTGTTTTCCATCTATTCCATCTGCAAAGAAAACACCCATCAATGTATAACTTAATATACTGTATACAGTACAGTTAATAATAAAACCAAAAGGATATTAAATATGATTTCTTTCTAATCTAATACAAATAATGATCTCATCCTACAACATTTTGTAATACTGTACCATAGTACGCTTAATGCACACTGGAGTATGTAACCAATTACTATATACTTAATATAAAACAAAAAATTATATTGCGGCTACCAAAATTACAAAATTCTCCTACAGTGGGGTATGCTATAACGAATCTAATTGGTTCTAGAACCTTGTTCGTTATAGCATTCGTTCATTATAGGGTTAATCCGTTCCAGGCCCCCAAATACAACCACTTAACACTGAAAAATATAATATAAAATTGTAAAAATTTTAAAAAAGTGCATAAATATGCATCTAAACCCCTGAAATAAAGAATATCATTAATATTTGTAATAAAAAAAATATAAATAAGAAAAAAAAAAAAAAAATTAAATAATGTTCGTTGTAGGAGTTTCGTTCGTTATAGCATTCTCAATTTTATAGGTAAAACCGTTCGTTATAGGAATATTCGTAGTAGGATCCGTTCGTTATAGCATACCCCACTGTATATCTTAGCGATAAAATTTTTTATTTCGCGAAGGAAATCGGGCAGGAAATATTTCAAATGTACCGCCAAGGCAAACAAATGCGTTAGTTGCTCACCAGAAACGCCACCGTGGCTGCTCACTCACGCATTCATGTGTATCATGTTCAGCGTACAGTGTATATACGGTACTATATTTCCTAACCTAACCGGGTTAATTCGGACAATCTGCTAAAATGGACACCCTTCCCCCCCTATTAGTCCGTTTTAACGAGGGTCGACTGTGTGTGTGTGTGTGTGTGTGTGTGTGTATATTTATTTATATATATATATATATATATATATATATATATATATATATATATATATATATATATATATATATATATATATATATATATATATATATATATATATATATATATATATATATATATATATATATATATATATATATATATATATATATATATATATATATATATATATATATATATATATATATATATATATATATATATATATATATAGTGAAGATAATGGAAAGCTTAATGGAAAAGATTTAACACTGTAACTAATATTTTTGGTGTTTGTTTATTTAGGTGTGGGATTGTCAAGTGAGGGTGGCAGTGGCGTCTGCTACCGAGTCTGGTGTTCCTTGATATTGAAATAGCCTGTTGGTGCTTTAGTTAGTAAGAAAATGAACTCGTTATGTCAAGTTTAGTCACTTTTTGGGCCTCCAGAACCTAGCCCAATTTTCCCCATTGATTACATGTAATTATATTCCGCAATTTAGTATATAACGAACATCGTTGGACCCTATATCGCGATATATCCCGAACCTACTGTAGTATTTCCAATATGTAAACAAAATAAATTAAAATGGCACATGAAATCAATTGAGCATTCGTAATTAAAACAATAGAGCATTACCATAAAGAAGAAAATCTGTTCAATTTATTTTTGTGTAGTGATCACTGTTGATTATGCTGAATGTGACTGACATTTCAATATCCTGCAAAACAACCCACAACTAAGCATTCACATTCATATAAATCTAAAATATAAATTAAGGCGCTCCCATTGATAGCGACGAATCAACCAATGGTGCGCAAATCAGACCCTTCTGTTGAAGGTATGACAAATAAACCCTGTATTGGGTAGAGAAAGAATTGGGCTTCCTGTTGAAACAAGAATCTGATTGGAGCACCATTGGTTGATTCGTTACTATGAAAGGGAGCACCTCAACTGGAGTCACTATCAACAAAAACAAATGTACTTACCTAAAGTGTGTGCCATAAAATGATTGAATGCACAGGCAAACCATACCCAGTTTGGGATAGGTGGATATTGGTCTGCTGGAGGTTCATCACTAGAGGCATAATAACTATAGTCATACACAGCCAGGAGAACAAAATTCCCAACAGTAAACAAGAAGCCCACAAATGTGAGAACATTCGGAGCTATCCATCGTGGACATATCTATAACGAGAGAGAGGAAATCTGATACCATAATGATTACACAAGCTCAACATTCATTACCTGTATGTAATTATAAAATTTTGATTCTGAAAGGATCAGGCCTATCAAATAAAACAATATTTATCAACAATGACACTAAACTGCTAACCTAATAGTAACTGCCTGTATTTTAATAATTTAGATATGGTTATTATCATACTCCACTACAAGACAAGCAGAAAAAGATCAAAACAAATCTAGAATTTAATCACTCTTTTAATGCAGTACATTAATCATAAATACCTAAAACACAATGACGATATGTCATTGTATAAGTCTCGCTGCCACTGTTAAAAGTTTTGCATCATAAACTCCTGCACTAAATTATCTCCACCTCTGTCTTATGTCTAGGTCCATGTCACCCAAGCTAAATACTGTAATATATTTTCTCTCTCAAAATTGGGCATTAATAAATATATTTTAATCAATCTCAACTCATCCTTCTAGTAATGTTCTCAGACCATCCATCCATTTCTCTACTCAACCTACCCTTCCATTACTTCATTCTAAGCTTCAACTTTCTCAATACTACCATTTTTACCTGAAACATTCTTAACTACTTAAATGTATTAATATGCACAATTCAATTTAATCCACACATAAACTAAACCATTTCATACTCAATGTACATTCTGGAAAAAAAATATATATATATTTCACTGTCTAACTAATCTAATGATACAGTATCTCCTTCATCAAACATCAATACAGTAAAGTAGTAACATTCAATCTGTGCCGCAATAACAGAATTATCCCCAACCAAATAACAGAGTATTTGTTAATTTCATTTCGGGCAACTCAGGTGAACAGTTGACACTTGTGTGAAACCCCTAAGCTTTCATTTGTTTAGGAAAAATAATTTTGATTACAAGCAGAATTTGAGACAAAGGATTTACACAACCGTTACAGTATTACATCCAGCTCAACACAGGCAGTGAAGACATCAAACCATCCCAAGCAGGCACACAAAATAGTCTCAAGTGTTGGATCAAAAGTGAAATGATGTTAAGGCTTCTATTTCAGTGTTGATTTAGTGTTTAATTTATGTCAAATGTCCACTGGGTTCACTACAGTCTTTTCATATGTAAATGTCAAACATCAGCAATACCTTCTTGTAAAATATAATAACAGAAGGTAAAACAGAGAAGGAAGAATGAATAAAACTGAAACTAGGTAATGAAGATGTGGGAAGGGAGGAAGAAAACTGAAGAAAGCAGAAGATGTTCTGTATAAAAGTATGAAAACTGGGGGGGAAAGGAAAGAAATTAGGAAATGAACAAACATAAGAGGATAAAACACAGTAAACAAGATTTTTTTTCTATTTTACACTTCTGTGGTGTTCACTTCTTAAATAACCTTAAACCTACAGATAAGAGTGAATCAGTGATAAGATAGGGGACCAGGTGACAAACTAAACTTCAGACCGATCATTCACCTTAGGGGCAGAAAAGAACTGGCTATTAATAAATTCTGAACATTACCATACATACACAAATACTGTACTCTCTCTCAGCATAATATACCAAATTTACTACAGCTTTCAAATGCGCTTACAGCAGACCAACATGAAACTGTTCAGTGATATTTCTATTTCTATTCACTTTTATAAATAAATTCTGACCAACAATGAACAATCTTTTTATAATCCAATTTCTATGCAGGATTTTCACTGGTTTTGAGAAAGTCAATAGAGACAGACAATACTGACATTTTCTGTAAGCCTAATGAAAGTTATAAACAGTAAATAGCTTTTCTTGTTACCCACCCCTCTTGATGGAACTAGTCCAAAACAGTGGGGGAGGGAACTAATGACCACCTGGGTCTCTCCTCTTTCTTTTTTCCTCACTCATAATATAAATTTTTGTGCTCATTCTCATCTAGTTCCTCAAGCAAACACTACCTGTTATTTCCCACAAACTTTTAACAAACAGTACCCACTCATCTCTAACACTCTCCTATCAACACAACATTTCTCATTACCTTTTCATTTGATAATAAATAAAATCCTTTTCACTGCACCATTGCATGATGCAATTTCAAGGAAAAAATCTGGCATGAATGCAGCATGTTACCGGTACCTGTACAGTACGTAAGTTTGATCAAATTCATAAGATAAACCAAGAAATTCAGTAAACCCTAATATATTTTAAGCAACATTCCCAACACATCATGCTCATACAATACATTTAGGTGTATTTGTTAATTTACTTCAGTGCAAGCTAATAAATACTGTAATGTATACAGCATGACAAATGATTCAATATTTTAGCAGGACAAACTTACATTGATACAACACTTCAAGAATGATAGGACAGTACAGACTGTACTTATATAATCGTGGTTGTCACTTTTTGATAAGAGTTGTCTAGCCAATCGTGATGCTGCTTGTCCACTCTGCAGTCACAGCATGTGGTGATTTTACATATGAATGTTAACACACACAAAACTTGACTTCTAGTTTCCAAAGTGATTGTAAAAGAGAAGAAAATTATGAAAAGACAAATGTAGACCTAAGCTGATCTGTGACGACATGGCTAAAAAACAAAAATAATAATTTGTGGAATGATAGTGTTATCAGAATGTGATAGCTATGAACACATTAAAGATTATAGCAATGTCACAGAATGGTAATGACTTAGTATGATAGAACATTAAATCAGTATACTGTAGTACAGTACTGTACTGTATGTACAGTATATCTGCAGGTGAGAGCACTAAGATACATTATGGTAACTGTGAGAATGCACAGTACAGTACTGTAGTTGGATAAACAGTACTGTACAGTATTAATACAAACTGAAAATAAGTCAGACACACGCACAAAAAAGTATTGCCAAGCAGACCTTTATTCTTGAGAGAACCACAAAAATAATCCTTCTTTTATTTCTGGAATACTGCACCAAGTCTCAAGAAGTAAGGCTTCTCATGGCTACTAGGGAAAGCTAATCCGCTCTGCTACTCAATCTAAAACAGCATAAGACAAAACCAACAAACTCACTCACCTTTACAACAGCATTCCAAAATGGATGCATAACATAGTTGCTGAGAGGGCTTGTGTCTTGTGCACTGTACTGTGGATGAAATTGTATTTTAATGTACAGTAGATTATATTATACTGTTTTCACAGGGCACTTCACTGATTATAAACATTACAGTACTGTATAGAATTACAATTTAGAGCAAGACACACTACTGAATAGGTCTAATAATTTGTAAAATAAAAAACTATTCTTTGAAGAATTATATATTATAAAAGTACAATATTTATCCTTGGAATGTGACTACACGGGGTCCCCGGGTTACGAACAGGTTCCGTTCCTGCAGATGCTCTTAAGTCGAAAATATACATAAGTCGAAACACATGCTATGAGCATACCGTACTTTTTTTATGGGATTAGCCCACCACTTAATTTAAGAGAAAAGGAGAAATAGAATGGCAAAATACAGTAAATGAAATAAAAGGAGAAATATAATGGCAAAATACGGTAAATGAAAGTAAAAAATAAGTCATCGGGTAAATAAAATACTATAAATTTAAAGTTTAACCTCATTCATATTGGCGGGTGTTCGTAAGTCGAGGACCTCCAGTATAGGTATTGATTTTAATCAAGATTTAATCATTTTTTAATATTTACCAATTGTTGAGTAGGATTTATGACAACTCGCATCCAGGACAAGTCATACCCACCTGAGACAACTTGTATCCACTTTAATATTGACGTACACCCACTTCATTGATAGTTGATGCCCATAGTTATTATTACTGTTATATTATTTCTTATTATTTTATTATTATTATTGTTGTTGTTGTTGTTATACAGTGCATCTGTATGTGTATGTACTTTGCATTTCTGTTTTTAAAACAAGTATCATAAACCACAAAATTATCACGTAAACAAGGGCTTATAACAAACAAGCTGACAAGCATGTGACCCCTGCTTAATTATTAGGTCAGGGATGGCATGTGGTCAGGTTAAAATATTTTTAATATAATATCTTGTTCATTCTTTACTGAGTGCTGGCGACGATGGCTTCTGTGCCTTACACTTGTTCAGTTCAGGGTGAAGACACAATGTCCGACATACAGTAGATAGGAAGCCCTGTCCTGTGACGTGTGTTGATGGCGGTGACATAGCATTTGTGCCACGGGAATGAAAAAGGAAGAATAGGGCCAATTAATAAGACATTTAAGAAATGGCGAAGAATTTGATGTTGAAGTACTGAGCCTTCAGTTACCGAGTTGATAGCAGTTAAAGACTTTGATGTTGACAAGAATACAGAAGAGGCTAGACAGAGGTGACTTTGCAAGCTGTGGGTTCAATATGAAGAAAAGTAAATCACAACATAATGTTAAAGATTTTGCTTGATTTTAATACCATTTTAGGCTGTACCCCTTTGTACTGATAAATAAGCATTTTATCTGACTCCTGTGTATTGTAAATGAATTCATGGAGGCAACTGTACTTTGTGTATGTATACAGTATTTACAAGTTGACCAGTCAAATGGGTACAAGTTGACATCTTCCACTGCATACGAGTTGTCGTGCACCCATGTGGAGTATAGTACCAAATTACCAATACAAGTTTATTACATTTAATTTCAATGTAACAACCTTGTGTGGGTAAATTAAGGTTTAGATTCACTTACAAAACTGAAACATACAGTACGCCAAAATACTTCTCTCACTTAACAAAATCCATTTCAAAATCTAAATTTTTATTATTATTACTCTGAATTTACCTAGGCCATGGCCACCATAGTGAGTTTTGTCAGATCATACCAAGTCAGTATAAAAACATACATACCAGTATCTATGAGGTTATTGTTTGTAAAATGTGAGATTGCATTATCGCCTCAGAGGCTATTCTAGATACTGCACATGATATTACCATGATCATTGTCTATATGTGTCATCGGTTCTCTGGTATGGAAGCTTTGGTTTTGGCGGAAGGTGTAATGATTGTTTATCAGGACACAGCTAACAGCCGAGACAAGAATAGCACATATAGCAGTGACCGGAAGCGCAGTTGTGTACACCCTCGTAAGTTGACCCACCCTTCGTAATTAAAGTGAGATTAGGACCTGACCCAAGAGAGGTCACGGTCACAATGAACAAGAATTCTCACCGTCACGTCATTAGCTGACCCGGCGACATGACCGTGTTACTCAAGAAGCTAGACTCCAACCAGAACACCTGTCACCTGGCCAGACACACCCAGATTAGTGATGACATCTTCTGGCTTGTCACCGCCAATATAAGGAGTCTGCAGCTCTTTCCACGAGGCATTATTATTATAACAGGGAAGGGGCTGACAGCTTCTTCCCAGAGACAGAATTCAGAAGAAGACACACTCGTCACTAGTTGAGGTCGGGTGGAGGGCTTCCCTCCCCAGCAATGAGCCCCCAGCTAGCAGTCTCCCACAAGAGACATAGTCCAGCACTCTCTTCAGCAGAACCTGCAGACATCCCCCAGCCGCTGGGCAGCCAGGTCACACACGAGTCATTGTCAGAGTGGTCCGTGGGGTGAATTACTTACGTAGGGAAGTATCCATTTCATGTTGTGTCCGAGTTATTGTCTCGTAACGTAAATACTGTATAATGATCTATTAATGTGTCCATACCATTGAGTTAACGAATAAATAGTTGTACTTAGAATTGGTGTTTAGAAAATTCCCCCAAAGAATATATATGAACAGATAAATAACTAATCGGCCACACTACCAAACTTTCCTCACTTTACAATCCTACAACTATAAATTCTTACTTTACTGTACTATTATTTCTACTTGAGATTACCCTCATTACACCTCAATGTCTTCAGTTTTTCATCTTAGAGACTGCAACTAACCAGCACTGACCTATAATTTTAACTATAGTATGCAGTCTACCGAGCTGGAGTTGTGTCTACCAGGATATTTATGTTATGTATTACCGTACAAATAATTATACAGTATAAAGGAATAATTTATATTATTACAGCAACAACTGTATTTATTTACTTTAAATGTTGATTGTTTATATGTAGACTCACTGTAGGGTGGTGGATTTAAATGGAAACTCACTGTAACGAGAGGGGGAAATAAACATGGGATTTAGAAGACTGTGCCTCAATCTCTCCTACATATATAGCCCTAAGAAATGAAGACACCACAATTTACACTAAAGGTTAGGTTAATAGACGCTACAGTGTAAATATCCTGGTAGACCAACTCCAGCTCGGTAGACCGCATACTATAGTAGAACCTAAATTTCATTGTATAAATAAAACTAAGTACAGTAGTTAATTGTCCAATCATGGACCTTTACTTCTGTTATTTGTCAGGCAGTGATTCAGATTGGTCGAGGATGATGATACTGATGACCTAGATTACTGGATTTGGTCACTTGCAAACCTGTTTAGGTTAGGTTGATTATGTTTCCAAATGACCACATTCAGTTACTTAGAATCAGCATCATCAGCTTCGATCAATCGGAACATATGTCAGACAAATAATGGAAGTAAAGGTCCGCAACTGAAAAAATAACCACGCCTAAATAATAAGCAAAATTTGAACTTTTCTAAATCTGAACTTGGAAATGTCAATTATTATACGGTCCAACGAATTACCCAAAAGTACCCAAAAGTATATTAAACCAGGGTAAAATCTTAACGAATATATGTTTTACATCAATAAAACCTGATTAATAATGTTTTCATTGAAATGTACAGTAGTCAAAATAATGAAATAATAAACAGCGAAAAACACTAAATTCCAAAGAGTCACCTATCCAAAATGGAGATATAATTACCGATGTTTCTGTTACTTTGGGGTATTTAACATAGCCGTAGGATTTACTTTTCGTTAGGTTAGGTTAGGTTAGCGAAGTGCATCACGATGGATCTGAGTCATCTCCCTTGTTCACGAACTCTTTGGAATTTAGCGTTCGCCAATACTGAAAGTTTTCGCTGTTTATTATTTCATCTTACAAATTATTTTTACAAAATTACACTAAAAATATTATTAAACATGTTTTGTGTATGTATAAGATTTTACCCTTATTTGCTATACTTTTGGGAAATTCGTGGCTCCCGTTATTATATATTAATTTATGTTTAAAGGGAGTTATTGAACACTTACCATAATTCACATTCCCTGTGTGTTTGAGAGTTCAATCGTTACTTCTTGAATGCAATTTCATCTCTGATATATGTACTGTATGTCTTAAGGTATGAAATATCTACATACCACTTTACAGTATATACTTGATAAATCATGCAGGGGACATAACTAAAACTGAAAAACTCTACCAAAAGTGAACACTAGCTTACTCTCAAACCCTTAAACAAGCTTCACTATGTTAGAGTCCGAGTTCCTACTAATGACGAAACTATTTGTCTGCTGTACACCTGAAGAAGGTAAATCAGGCAAATAAATTATTGGGTCTTATAAGAAGGTCGTTCAGATATCTAAACGGTCCGTCCCTCGTAACTATCTTCAAGAGTGAAGAGCTTCCCCATCTGGAGTACTGTCACCCCATCTGGTCCCCGAGATATGCTAGGGACTGTCAGTTGGTTGAAAATGTTCAAAGGAGGGCCACCAGACTGGTGCCTGCACTTCAGCACCTCAACTACCCTGAGAGATTGGAGCGCCTGAACTTGCCTAGCTTATGCTACAGACGGGCAAGGGGCGACCTAATTGAGGTGTATAAGCATTTCAAGGGGCACTACTCAGTCGAGTGTCCTTATTTGGAGCTGGCGGACGCTCGCCCCACAAGGGGTCACAACTCAAGATTGAAGAAGCCGCAAGTCCAGAAAACTGTAAGGGAAAACTTTTTCGGAGTGAGAGTTGTGAACTCTTGGAGCAATCTACCAGAAAGTGTTGTGACGGCACCGAGTGTGAGCTCTTTCAAGACAAGAACTTGACCAACACTCGAGCGGGTTCAGGTACATTCAGGAGCCAGTGCATGCCCAGTACTTGCCAACAGTGCGTAACAGAGACGTGACCGATCGCCCAAGCGGCTAACGAGCCGATCAGTGGTGAAGAGGATAAAAGTAAATAAAAGGATAAGTCACCTGTGTTTCACCACTGTTAACAGCTTTCCTATGCTATCCTTAATTGAGTTACTGCTTACCAATGTTTGTATACCCCCGTTGCCAATGTTCATCTTAAATTAGAGCGAATTTGTATGGAGTTTTTATTGAATATTTATCCATTAATCTATCAAAACCCATTTATATCGGTTAAGTATTACACAGGTATCTACAGATTGAATCATATGGGTTAGACCGATATTAAAACCTGTAATTACCTCATCACTCGAGTCAAGCAGTACCTATTGTTACATCAGTATTTTTCCCTCTATAATTCGCTAATATATTCAACAGCTCAAACAACCACAATGATGTCAATGTGTGGCTGCAATTAGTCAAGAGCCGCTTGCCTCATCCTCTTACACTCCCACCCATAACTACACAGGTCTTCAACTCCACATACCTTATAGTTTTCAAATCCTACTAGCTGCTCCGGGGTTAAATATCGCACTACCGTCATCTTGCTCCTTTTCCATTCACAACTGTACGTAATGTGGTATGTATTCAGCCGCTCATCCTGTGTCCTCCCGCAGCAACACTGGCCATAACTCTCTCCTCCCGCAGTGCTGCCATGGTCCCACCCACAATGTCGTACACTGGGGAGACAATGTTGAACTTCCTCATCTTCATCGTCTGTTACATTACCGATAATTCCCATTTATATTTTCTTCTTGTACACTTAATACCTTACTTCATATATTTATTTATATTTAACTGTTTTATTATGAAATTGAATACTAAGATAACATACTTTACATAGTTTTAGCTTCATACTTGGCTCCTTGGAGACTGCTCTCACACTTATATGGTCATTATTGTACATTCATTAACTTCTTCGTTCAATCAAGGAATATAAAGTTTTAATTACAAATTAGTATATCTTATTCCTCCCTTTTACATTATTTATCGGTAATACTAGGTGAATATTCTGATCAAATCTGTTGAATGCAAATATAAACACATTAAATTACTGTTTCACTATAAACAGCATTGCCACACCCAGAAACTGAAAGGATTTAATATATTTTTAATATCATCCCAGGGAAGTCCCATCCGTGCTTCTGTGTAATGGAAGGGACTTACATGCCAGACGAGCTAAACGTAAAATTGCCATAAGATATGCCCATACTTAAACATGTAAGTGGGTCATACCATTAACTGGAATGATTCATCCATAATTTACAAATCTGATATAGTTTTAGAAAAAACTATATGCTTCTACTGTTAGAAATTGCCTAATACATGTACTATACCTGTCTTATTATTATTACATTACAGAGGAGAGCAAACACCCAAGCCACTAGACCTCATCATAACAAACGAGGAGGGTATTGTGGCCAAATTGGAACATATAGTCCCAGTTGGCACCAATCACCATGTAGTGATGTCATTCAGATTTAACTGTTACCTATTTCATGATAAAGACAGGCCGAGGTCCAAATATTACAAGGGGTATCCACTGGCTGACTCACTAAGGCCCAAGAACGCAGACACTCCGCTGAATATTTTTTTTTACTTTTACTTTTATCCTCCTCACCACTGATCAGATCGCTAGAACGAGTAAAGTGACCCATTTGATCGATAAATATATACCCAAGACCAAACCCAGTGCCTCTAGGAATACGAGGGGACCCCTACACATGAACCATGCGGCGGTCGACAAAGTTAAGAAGAAAACTCAGAAATTCAAGACGTGGGTTAAGACAAACGATGAGCAGGACAGGAAGATATATGCAAGAGCCAGAAACCAAGCAAAGGCAGAGTGTAGAAGGACTGAAAGGGTGTTTTACCGCTAAGCAAAGTCGAAATTAAAAACGCGAGCAGGAGTATCAGACCTGAGGCTGGTGGATGGTAGTTACGCAGATTCTGACCAGGATAAAGCTGAGTTATTGAACAGCTTCTTTTCCTCGGTGTACACAAGAGAGGATGCGATTAACCTTCTTGCATTGGAGGACAGACGGTTTGACATAGCACTGACCCACATTGTGTTCACAGAAGAGGGTACAAAAAATAAACTGTCAAAGCGAAAGGTCCATAAGAGTCCCGGCCCTGACAGGGTGCATCCCAGAGTGCAAAGAGAGTTGTGCAACGAGCTTGCCGAGTCCCTGAAGATCCTGTTCTGTAAATGCCTGGATGAACAAAAGGTCCCCAGTGATTGGAAAATGGCTTAAGTGAGTCCTATCTTCAAGAAGAGCGATAGTCTCTCCACGAACAACTATAGACCGGTGAGCCTGACCAGCATAATATGTAAAGTACTTGAAAGTATTATCAGAGATGCCGCGATGGAACATCTACTACGAAACAACCTTGTAAAAGATTGCCAACACGGTTTTATGCCGGGGCGCTCCTGCTTAACACAATTGCTCAAGGTATTGGATATTTGGACCCATATTCTGGAACGGGGAGGTAATATCAACAATATTTACCTAGATTTTGCCAAGGCTTTCGACAGTGTACCCCATGAAAGGCTGAAAATCAAACTGGGAGGGTACGGAATTCGAGGAAAAGTCTAGCGTGGATAGAAGACTATCTACATGACCCGCAAGCATTGTTTGGTGGTTAATGGCAAGAAATCATCATCAGTAATTGTCAAAAGCGGGGTACCACAGGGCAGTGTATTGGGCCCGCTCTTGTTTGTTTGCTTCATAAATGACATGCCTGGTGCAATACACTCCTCCACACAAATGTTTGCGGATGACACCAAGTTATATCGGGAAATCAAGAATCAAGCGGACTGTAAAGAGCTGCAAAAGAATCTCTATGAGCTCCAAGAATGGTCGAAGAAATGGCTGCTCAATGTCACGAAGTGTAAGAAGATGCACATGGGGCGTACCAACGGTAAGGTGGCGTATCATATGTCCCAACGGGATGAAGAAACTGCATTATTTGAGACTGAATGCGAGAAGGACTTAGGTGTGTATGTTGACAATGAGCTGAAGTTCTTGGGCCATTGCGAGAAAAGGTAAATCAGGCAACTAAAGTATTAGGTGCTTCCCCATCTGGAGTACTGTCACCCCGTTTGGTCCCCGAGATATGCTAGGGACTGTCAGTTGATTGAAAATGTCCAAGGGAGAGCTATCCAGACTGGTGCCTGCACTACGGCACCTCAACTACCCTGAGAGATTAGAGCACCTGAAATTAACTAGCTTATACTGCAGGCGGGCAAGGGGAGACCTAATTGAGGTATATAAGATTCTCAAAGGGCATTACTCAATCGAGTGCCCTTACCTGGAGCTGGCGAACGCTCGCCCCACAAGGGGTCACAGCTCAAGGTTAAAGAAGCTGCAAGTCCAGAAAACTGTGAGGGGTAACTTTTTCGGAGTGAGAGTTGTGAACTCTTGGAACAATCTGCCAGAGAGTGTTGTGACGGCACCGAGTGTGAGCTCTTTCAAGACCAGACTTACCCAACACTGGAGCAGGTTCAGATACATTCAGGAGCCGGTGCATGCCCAGTACTTGCCAACAGTGCGTAGCAGAGACGTGACCGATCGCCCAAGCGGCTAACGAGCCGATCAGTGGTGAAGAGGATAAAAGTACAAGTAAAAGTAACACTATTTAGGCTGTGAGCCGTGTGTAATGTTCGACTGACGACTAGTTTTTTGTTCATTAATATTAAAATCAAAATCATCGATCATTTATTTTTATTTTTAACCTAATATTTATTTTATATAATTTCAACATAACTAATTATAGAAATATGTGCAAATATCTATGTACTTTACATAACTTACTTTATTGTTCTTTAGTTTAAAAATATGTATGCTTGAAAAATAATTTGGCTAAAGTTCTTTAAACGAGGTTACTAGACCATGTGTTGTATTGTACCCAGGTACAATTATATAATATTAATTGTATGTATTCATAGCATTAAGGAGAACTCAGGGTATCCATAAGATGAATGTTAAAGTCCAGTTGAGCCGGGCTAGTGTACTGTAGGACTAAGTGTGGATCATGGTTTGAAGGTCATATTATTTACGTCTGTGAACGTGTAGCAAACATAACTTCCACAGATATCATATGAAAATACATGAGAACAATGATCTAGAAAAAGGATAAATGTATCAGAACTATGTGAGGTGTTGGAAGTGACCCAGAAACTTTACTTGAAAGGAAATATCTTGTATGCGTCGGTATGAACTTAATACACCTCGTATCCTCACGTGACATATACCCACGACAAGCACAGTGATCAGAGAATCTTATGTCTGTGTTCAAATAGTGCAATGTGTGAGAGGAGGATCCCTAATTACAGTTTTAAGTTTAGTGGATACACCCCCGCCATGAATATTCGGCCTTTGTTTTAAGGCGCGTCCTGTACCCGCCTGAGTGTGCCGTGTTGATATTATAACCCAATGAATTTACCCACGATTTAGCAAACCAGAACCTTACCTTAGTTTGTACTTTAGGGTTAAAATATGTGTTTATAAGGCATGAGTGACAATATGCCGAAAAGTGTTCAGGTGAGAAACGTAAGAAATAAAAGTAAAAATTTAAGATTGGAACTGTAGGTCTATGCAGTGACGAGCGGCAGGGCACTGCACTCAGTACCCTCCGTTCTACCGTCACCTCAGGTCCCATGGGTCGGAGTGCCTTGCTGCGCGGCAGCCATTATCCCTGTGAGCGTCCCCCCAGGTGGTGACTACTCCCAGCTATGCCAATCCACTGTGAAGCTGTGGATTCCCAGCACACCACTCCAAATGAGTAGTAACAAATAAGGAGACCGTGAGAAACCCTGCCGTCGTCACTTGGAGCGACCTATACTACCAGGCGTAGAAATAGTACTGGTATGTCTCTTGGTGAAGCCCTCGTCTTTACCCACCGAGGACGGTGTGCGAACGAGGTGCCTGTTATGTATACCTAAAAGTTACAAGGAGTCCCATACCTGCAGGTGTGGAGTGTAACAGGTGTGTCGAGATGGTGCTACTATGTATGATAACCGACGGTGCTATATTCCATACAGGTGGAGCAGTCTGGTGTGTTAAGGGGTAGTGTAAGAAGGAATGACCGAGGTAAGGTGGTCACAGATTGTTATGCAATAAGTATGTGGATGACACGCCATTAATGTACGACGTCTGGTGCCGATCTGGGTAACCAACATTTTCGTTGTTCTTCTGAGGAAGGCCACTTCATTTGTATGTTTTTTAGCAGTATGCTTCATAAGGAATAAATTAATTAAGACATGTTATGGTTTCACCCTTCTTTCCCCTTATCGATCTGGTCAATGGAAAACCTAACCCAATGCCTAGTCCACTCTGCACGCTACCTAACGAGCTATATGCTGTCCAGAGGGGGTCTGGTGGCAGCGACCCTTAGAAATTAAGATTAGAGTTAAGTATTTACCCTTAGAATTAGTGACCCCAGTCTGGCAGTATACCATCCCATCCTGAGTGTGAACCCAAACATCACGTACCCCACAAATGGTGACCCCGGAGTGTCCACTCACACAGGATGGAGGAGAAATATCTCATAATCCCACAAATGGTGACCCCCAGAGATACGCAC